AATGTAGGATGCTAATGCATACACTCAGAAAAAAAGATACATTATATAACAATGCGTTTAACAATGTCAAGATAAATGTTCAGTTCACTTTGATCGATTTTATTAACTATTTCCTTGCACCAGATACATAATTGAATCCGCCATCTCTTCAGTTTTGTACAAGTTTACTGATAATATTAAATTCACTGGAAAAATTTCTGTTCTAAATATTACAGATTCCAGCTACTCAAAGGAAGATAGAATTTTAAAGAAAGTTTATATATTATAAAGTTTATGAACTCGTTTTAAGTTACAAATCTTGGAGATCAACCTTTTTATCTTAGGATTGATATCCATTTCTATCAACGAGGATTAACTTTAAGATTTAATTTATTCCTTACTTCCTTTATTCCTTACTTTTTTCTAATTCTTAGAACTAAAAAAAGAATAAAAAGTAAGTTAAACTGAAATTAAAATTAATTTACATTGGAAATGAACATATAAGACAAATTCCATTTTACTTCCATTGTATTTAATTCCATTTTATTTGTTATTTATAATTCTCACGTTAGAAAAAAAATTAAAATAATCCTTTATTTAAGAATTAAGAATTATAAATATATTGAATAATTATATCACTCCCACTTATTATCGATAAGGTATCCCGACCGCAAATTATACAAGTTGCTGATTAATCGATCGAGTTTAACAAGCTTTAACGAGATTGACTTGTGCAAGGTATGAGCTATGTTTAACAAGGAGTGATTACCGGTGGCCGAGACGTCGTCGACTAAAGTAGCGACTTTATCTGTCAACAACGTCTGGTAGAAAAAATGCCACCTTGACCTGACGTGTCTCCCATGGATAATTCAGTCCTCAGTCCTAAAAATGAGCATCTATATGCTGACATGCTTTAGTCGGCTTACTTCCTGATTAGAGACGCACGCGGGCAGCTTGTTGTCTCTCGAGCAATGTACGATATATGTATACACTCTATATCTGCATGATACGGTAAAAATCGATTTTTTACAGGTTGACACGCTGTAACCATAGCAGCTTAATCGAACATCAAACTGCATACCCATCACATGTATGTGATACGATAGCGCGATTCACGGAAGACATTTCACTGTGATCTCTGAGTGGGCGTAAAATCGCAGATTTATTCATTCATTCGTAAAGCATCCAGGCTGAATGTAGTCCATTCCTAAATTTCAGAAATTGATTTCTCTTTGAAGAAAATATTCGATAGAGGCAGACATATTTTAACGCGCAAATATTGAATATTCTAAAAAATATACCTATGTATAATCATCATGCGCACCACAGGTATATGAGAGGGAGAGATCACCACGCTCGGACACGAGTAATAGGACTGAGGAGGAGGAGATAATATATATAACTACAGATATATAACTAATAAAAAGCTTCTAGAAGCAATTGATCAATGAATAGACCACTGTTTTACATGTCACTTAGCTTAAACTTTCATTTTTGCCGTTAAATGACAAAATTGAAGAATTTAAAAAATCGATTGCACATAAGATTCAAAGAAAAAGCATGATAATTTATAAATTTATTAATGGAAAGTTACGCTACTGTCTATCGACGAGCAGTCATGGCACGAATCGATAATTCAAGTTTTATATGTAGTTTTGAAATATATAGGAAAATATAAAAAAATTATGTATATTGAAAATATTAATATTTAATAATTTAATAAAATTAATATCTTTTTTTTATATTTCAAAAATATATTAATCATTTTGAAAAACTTATGCAGTACAGCGTTTAACTTTCTTTATATTTAATAAATAATAAGAAATTAGTACAAAATTAAACAAAATATAAAAAAAAATATTATTAATACTTATAAAATATTGCATTTAATAAAATAGAATGTTCTTTTCAATTGAAAAATTTTTTTTTAAATTTCTAAAATTTAACTTTTAATTATTCTACTTTGAATTTTTTTCTGATTTAATTCTGATTCTTTTCAAACGTTTTTAATTAATGTCATAAGTTAATAATCGAACATTTAAAAATACACAACATATTTCCATTGTATGCATTTCACTTCGTGCAATTTATGACATATGTAGCGTGCATATTATAAACTTTACTAAGAAACAGTATCGTATAAAGACATACAATTCCCGTTATTAAAATGTTTACAAATGTACGTGCTCAAGTTCTGAATCAATAAAAGAATTGTATTGACATATTAGAACTCATTTAATAATTATATATGTACATGTACTTTAGTAATAACATATATGTAAACAGATTAATATAAATAATAATTTTTAAAAAATATCACGTATATAAAGAAAAACATAGAATTGCAAACATTAATATGCTTTGCATATAAATTATATTACTGCAACAGATGACTGACACTCTCAAAATTCAATTAATGATTATATATGTACTTTAGTAATAAAACATAAACACTATAAATTTAAATAAAAATTTAAAAAAATCATGATTATATAGAAATTTATATTCAAGAAATATTAAAAATGTACTTTCATTGTGTATGATTTTCTCTTACGCTTGCGTATAGAAAACGTTTTGCTTCAATTATTAATACAGAAGTAATAGATTGAAAGGGTATAACAGAATGTTTTATACAAATGGTAATACAAATGGTTCCTTGTATTTTTTATAGCAAAATAATTCTAAAGTGATTTTCTTGATAGAACATTTTATTATGATTACAAAATAAAATTAAAAAAATATCTGCTTATTAAAAATGCAAAATGTATATTTTTTTGTAATTTTTTTATAACAATGTATTAATAATTTAAAAATATTCGATTTAACGATGAAACGCAACAGAGAAATTACTTACCATTTTTCCGGTTACTACGATTACACTCGATAGCAAGCAACGTGTCGAGTCGTGCCACTACTCGATCACTGTCTGACTTCGCGGATAGCACGATCACTGCGCTTCGCCATTTAATAGTAACACTATATATGGTATCTGTACCAAAGTTCATAGGCAAGGTGAATCAGCTTATATTACTATAGTCTTGCGACAATTGTATATGTGGGTATGCATCTGCATACAAAGTGCACTGTTCGTTACAAATAATTTTCTCAAGAATTCCAAGCATAAATTCTTCAAATTCTATTACAAACTGAAGATACACAGAAATACACATACTCTTTTCTTTGCATTATTCATAATTATAAATTTTTTAAAATCTTGAAAAAGTCTTGAACAATCACACAATTTATGCTCTCGATTGTACATTATATAGTTACTTACTTTTACATAGTTACATAAAAAGCTACATAATAAATCTAAAAAAGGATCTCTTTCTTATGAGCTATTATTTTTTGAACTTCTTGGACTCGATAAAGTTATTAATTTTACTCTTCTAGGGGTTTTGTTACATATAATAGGAGCGATGTTAGGCTTAGGTGGAGTACTTTTGATTTTAATCTTCGTCATATCATTAGTACTTTCTTCGTATACTAACTTAATATCTTCCGTTTCCTCTTCGTCTAATTTTTTGTCTTGCAAATCATTTTTTAATCTAATATTCGAACTATCTGTGATTTCATTCGATTTCTTTTTGTTAAATTCTTTAGATCGATTATTTGCTGTCGCATCGGTTGCATCACATTTTACAAGTTCAATATCCATTGCACAATCATCCACGTCGAATGTCTGAATATTAGATTTGGCCGCACTATCTTTTACTGTGCTGCTCGAAAACTTTTTGCGAGAATGTTTGGACATTTCCTTTACAGTGATCTCATTTACAGAATCTTTCTTTTTATAAATTTTACCTAATTCGCCTTCTTCAAAATGTATTATAGTACAATAACCATCGCTCGAGGATGCAATTAAAATTTGGCCATCACTGGACCTATAAGAGAAAGACTTTAACATTCGGAATATGAATAATAAATATAATATAATAATCATATACCATGAAAGATCATTCAGTCTACCATAGTGAATGAGTGACACTATGCCGATCGGAGAAATCTGTTGTGTATCGTAAAGTAATATAGAACTTTGCGTCGCGACAGCAAATATCATTCTGTAAGCCAGCGGCACCAAAGCAGTTGGGCCGTCCTCTTGCAATTCAAAATATACAGGACAACATCGTACTGCTATTGTACATTCACTTAAAGTGGGCAAGATCATTATCGGCCTGAAAACCGCTTTTATCATTACGATTGTTTTCTCTAAGCGAAGTTTAAGAAAATGTCCTATAATACTGACTGTTTTATATCTTGTCTGGAGAAAACAATTATCGCATTTGATATAGTCTCTGTAGTTTCCTGCGACTCGATTATTCCAGATGGAACAAAGATTAGTGATCCATCTATTGAAAAGGTCAGCCTGCGAAAGAAAGATTTGAAGGTGTCATCATAAAATAGACGTACGAGCTTCCCCTCCAATGAACTGCCGGCTGGTGTGGGAATTTTGGACTTGTAAACACGCTGAACGACTTTCTTCGTAACGATGCTTATTAAACGGCAATGTCTGAAAATATTGCAATTTGCAATAGTAATTTAAAAAGTACTTTATTGTTTAATTATTACATATTACATACCTGTCTGTGCTGATAGTGCATACATATTGATTGCATGGATCCCAAGACACTCCTTGGACGAAACCTTTATGATCCTGCAGTATTGCAGTTTTACGACCTTTCTGAACATCCCATAATATAGCAGTATTATCAACAGATCCAGAAATCAAAGAATTAGAATCTGGTGACCAGCTGATATCATAAATATCTTCAATGTGACCTCTCAGTACCTTCCAAGAAGTCCATTGTTCTTTATTTGCAGTATCGTCAGAAGGTAGAGAGAAGGTAGAGTCTTGTCCCTCCTTTACTTTCCATAAAATAATAATTGATTCTGTGTGTTACATTAATATCAATATTAATTTTGTTTATCTAAGAAAATAAAAAGTGATGAGTAATATAATAACAGATGTATTAATAACTAGCCATCATCTCCTGATGCCAGAATTTCCTTCGATGGTGAGAATCTCACGATGTTTACTGCTTTCTGGTGGCGATCTAAGTCTGCGGCAAAATCTACAGTAGCTCCACCACACTTAGTTGTTGTTAAGTACCAGAGCTATATTCAAATTATATTTCATTAATTCCTTTTGAATGTATAATTATAATTGAATCAAAACAAAAAAATCATTTCTTTTCATATTCATTTCTAATATAGAAGATAATTTAAATAACTTAACTTTAATTTCAATTTAACTCTTTAATATATATTTTTTTAATTTATCTTTATCTTTTTCTAATTTCTAGGATTAACAATTAAAAAAAGAAAAACTAAAAAATTAAATTAAAATTAAAGTTAATCTATCTGAAATAAGCATAAGCATTTGATATCATAGTAAATGAAACTTTTTATTAACACCATATTTTGTTATTAACACCTTTTTATTACTATTATAAGATTTTGCTGTATTGAACTAAAACTTGCTTTTTTTAAGATTCATATATTTATTTCATTTTAAATACAAGTGTACATAACATACATCAGTTAAGTTATAAAAATATCATGATTCATTAGTTTTATTTTTGAATATGACTTAGCCGAGAATTAAGATAATTTTTTAGAGTTAAAAACATTCTAAAAAAAAATCCTTATCTAATCTCTCAGACACATTTGATAACGTTGTTAATGAATCTTTCCAATAGTATTATCGTATTTAACTATTTTGTTATTATTATTACGTACATATAAATATAATGATATTAATTACCAAAACGTGATTATCCGCTCCTCCAGTTGCTACTCTCCAAAATGTTTCTCCCTTCGAATTTTTGTTTACACCATTCTGTATATCCACGCTCAGCACCGGATCACGATTATGCCACGAGATTTCCGGAGTAATGCATTTCATTTTCTCAGGATCGACGCGATATATCCGCATAAAGATGAATTCCGCTGAGAAAAAATTTCTGCTTAACCTTCAAGTTGTTACGCGGTACGCGCCTATTTTCGCTTGGTTTTTTTTTTTTCTTTTGCTCCCGGGCTACGTTTCGATATTCACGGTCAGTACTGAAAATCTATAATATACGTGACTATATATTTTCAGTACTGGCAATGAATATCGGAACGCAGCGCAAAGTAGTGCTTTCAATCATGAACCTAAGAATATGAGTGCATTCGTTTATGCAGTCTACTACCGCAGGTGTCGTTCGTTTATTCCGTCTGCGAAAGTGATTGCAACGCAGTTCATTGTTCGCATAGACATATGTTGCGTTCCGTTTCGCGCATTATGCGCACGAATGACATAGAAAACGTTCCGTTTCACTCAATTTGCGCATAAACAGCGCTTAGAATTCCCTAGATCCCCACCAGCTGCAGCGCATAACGCACGCATCAGCTACCTCAAGTTCAAGCTGTAGCAGCTTATACGTTCTATGCGATTGTGTAATTGCATATGGCGGTTGTTGACATTGTGAAAAGTTTTGAATTCTAATTTTACATAAAAGTGTCAGTGTGAAAATATGGAAGAGACATTATTAGAGTTCCCAGTCTTGAAGAAACGCAGAGCGTCATCACATTATTTCTTACTCAGGAAATAATTAATAAAGTTCAAACAGGTAACATTTAGTCGAATATATTTGTAGGTTATATAGATTACAACAAATACAAGTAGAACATTTCTTACAGAAAAAGCTTTTTGACAGTAGTGAAAATACTCAATTGGGTTAGTTTTCGGTTTTTGAATTAATATTTCCACTATTTCCAAAAGTATTTTTAAAGGGATTATATTTTTCTATTTATTCAATTATTGGCTGTAAATATAAATTATATTAAGAATACTGTTGTTACAGATCAAAAGTTGCTGCAATCGCTTGTAAACAGAGAAATCAGTAAGCAGAATAATTCTACTGACTTCTCAAGTTCTTTAAAAATTAGTCAGCCTTCATCAGCATTGTCTGAAAATGTTGATTCCGAAGAAAATGATTGTTCGACGAATACAAAAGGATTTGTATGGTCTGATGCTGCAGTATATTTACTATTAGAATTGTATCGGGAGAAAGAATCCGACTTCAATTCGGGATCTAAAAGAAATGCTACTATTTGGGCTGAATTAGCAGAAAAAATGAGAGAAAATTCCAACGGAAAATATGCTGTAACTGGGTTGGAATGCTCTGTAAAGATGTCTGGTCTTAAAAGAACATTTAAAAACATAAGCGATCAAAATAAAAAGAGTGGAAGTCGGAATACATGGGCCTTTTATTCGGTAAATTGGTTTCTTATTTCTGTAAATAATGTATTAGAAAATGAAATACAAATTTGATATTGTTAATTTTATATGTAATCTATTTGAATTTTGTAAATAATTTTTTACATAATTGATTTATATAATCTAAATAAATGCTTTTACATAATTATAATTTTGAAGGTGATGAACTCAATTTTTGAGAAAAAGGATTTTGTGATGCCACCTGCGATTGCATCAAGCGAAGGTCCAGTTAAGCCAACAAATGTGACAGAATCGGCAGGAGCAGAATTACCTTCATTACCATCTAGTAATAATAAATCAATAAGATTTCAATTCTTTATACATTCTTTGTCTTTGTCTACATGCTTTAATAATTAATTTCTATTTTAGATCCAAGCAAAAAGCGGAGAGTTGAGATTGTCCTGGAGAATTTCATTGATAATATAAGACAAGATAGGAACACAGCGATGGCCAAAAGAGAAGAAGAAAGGAAAGAACGTGAGAAATTAAAAGCATAGCGGTATATCGAACGTAAAGAAGAACAAAGGAAAATTCATGAAAAGAAAATGGAGATACAAAAATCATTGATTGAAATTATGAAATTTTTAATTGAAAAGCAAAAATAATTTTGACACCTCTATATTTATCTGTAGCAAAAAGAAATAGTCCTATAATTTCCGTAACGGCGTTGTTTCGGTGGTATGCCCTACATTCTATTTTCTATGTGATAGCTAGTTTGTAACAAGTCTGTGATCTATCGACAATACGTACAAATGATATTAATGTAATAAGTGATATTAATGTAAAAAGTGATATTAATTAATTAGTAAGAACTATAATATTTTTAGTTATACTTCTTTACGAAGAAAATATTTTTGAAATCAACGATATCATCTTATATGTATTTAATATTTTAAATATTTATATTAAAATAATATTTAGCTTATGTTATTTTGTTTTTATATTATTTTTAGTTTTATATTACGAGTATTTGAAAATAGATTTAAGTTTTATGTTTTAATTACTAA